TCTTACTGAACTTAGGGTCTTCATTCAGAATTCCTGCAGGTTAAGTATCCCTCAGCCAGCAGACTTCCTCTATCACTCCATAAGCTTAGTCTTATTGATACTGGCTGTTTTTCAATTATGACTGACTGAATGCTCCCCCTAATCTACTCATTCCCCTCCTTTCTTAATACTGTTCTGTATTCAGTGAGATCTGGGATCTTTGAAAGCTGTCTTAGCAGCTGTCTCAGCAGCACAACTCAGAGACAACCGAGACCTTTTTCTTGGATTCGTCAATTTAAGTGAAAACATTCCTGATCTTACTCTAATTGATACAAACAAGAGCCAAAGGAGGACGGGGTTCTCATCAGTCTGTATGTCCCCATTCTTTAACACAAGTAATGTAGAAATGCTGGGCCCACACTCTGTGACAGCACAGGTAGGATGGCATACATCCTTTTCTGGATTTCATGGGCATCTCTAACCTCCACAGCAAAGGAGGTTGCTTTGCTTAACTGGCAAACCCCACCCTCTGTTTGATCAGCTTCTGATACAGTTCTACATCCCAAACACGAGCACTTTTTGAACTGCTTTACCTCTGTAAGGAGAGACTGATCAATTGCTACTCACAGATTTTGGAGGATTAAATTTTCCATCTTTCCTAAGCAGAAAATTCTGAATATGCCAGTTGATACTCAGATCTAGACTGCTGTCTTTTAAACAAGAAACATGGTGCACCACTTGCTTTTCCCAAGGAAACAGGAATGTTGCAGAGACTTGCTAGGTGTACATGGTCAGTTCACTTTATTCTTCCTTTCATCAGCAGTTACAGCCTTCCAGGCCAAAGCAGTCTCTGATCCCAGCTTTTGTGAAGGATAGTGAAGGTACCGTTGAAGGGGTTACTTTGCAGAGGCATTGGAAAGTGCTCAGCCTCAGCAAAAACTGTGCACTTCTGTTGCTGACCTTTAGAAGATTTCACTTTGGATGTTGACAGGACTCATGGAAGAAAAATGAAGAATCTGGTAGAAAGTGTTTAACCTAATACAAATGAGAACAAAGAAAATTCTTGTACCTCTTATCTTTGTCTCAAGTAAACAGATCAGACCTAAGACCTTATTTGCCACATTCTTCCATCATGCAGTCTTACTTGTCCTCCAAAGTAATACAAATATTCTTTTGTGCAAAAAACTAGCAGTATTTATGTAAGAGAATCTCATGTTGCTGCAGAGATCCTGAGTACTCTGGACCCAGTCCTGGAGAGATTCCTTAAGAAAAGGAGCACAGGTCTGTTTGTACTACTGGGCCTCAGCCCTCCAAGTTCCTGTAGTGTAACACTAGAGAAATAAGTGGTACCTTGGTCTCATAAAGGTTTTTTAATTTCACCTTAGTTTTCACAATATCCCTATTATGCATTTCTGGGAAAGGCAGAAGGGCACAGTTACAGCAATGCCCTTTTGCTTGGAGTGCAGGTTTGTAGGTATTCCACATGCCTTGGACCACTGAGCTAAAAATCTTGTTACAATACATCACCTCCCTTGTTGCCAAATTATGTTTCTTTACCACTACTACAAAAAAATGGGTACTAACGGGAATAACTGAAGAAGCAATATTAGATAATTAATTTATATTAAGTCCTAAAACGCTCTTTTTCTTCTAGAAACTTTCCCTTATTAAAGCTAAGGTTTGGAGTGGCATTCTCAGGCTGCCATGGGGATAGGTTCCCCATCTCCTCTTATCCCAGACAAATTCACTCCATGTGCCTGAGTCTCTCGATGGGCGTTAAGGAGCACACGTCTGAAAATCAGACCTGAGCCATATCAGTTGCTGAATGGAACATACATTGTTATTTAAACAAACACTAGTTAAGTCCTATTTTCTTAGCCAATCCTAAGAAAATATTTGCTTTGCTCCCATTACATGTAAGCGTAATATTGTACTTCTAACCAGTTCCATTCACTACTGTATAGGCAGGTGACTCTAGTCTGGATATAAGTAATGCATTTTCTGTGGTTTAGGGGTGATACCACACTTCCACGTTCTCAAGGAGTATTACAAATAACACTGTTCAAGCTTTTCTCAATTTTTGAGATAGCTGATATGCTTCTGGGACCTGCACTTAATGAAAGTATTAACAAAATCAGACAGATACCATCTGTCTTTATCATCAGGAAAATAACCATATTCATTCATAATGCAGGCCAGACAGATACGTCTTTTTTATCAAGCACATACACGTGTTAACAGTGACAGTTAGGGACTTTGGTGTATGCATTAATGCCACTGTATGAGCAGTATTTAAAAGGAAGCAATGTTGTAAACCTGATAAAATATGCTGACAAACTGCTGTTTGGCCAATTAGGCCCTCTGGCTTCTGTCCTCGGACTTCCAGAATATTGCTCATCCCCGGGCATTGGTGAACGTATCGATACAGATCTTTTGAGTAATGGAAACATGTCTGTCTGAATGCTGCAGATCAAATGAAGATGCCACATAAATCATATTAACTATCTTGCTTCTTTCACTAGCAACCACACAACAAACATGTCTTAACAAATCGTGTTCGCTGGCCAAAATGCCAGGAAGACCCTGTTACCAGTTAAGACTTCTGTTTTACTGAGAAATGAGGATTTCAGCTGAAAAATCTGAGATGCAAACAGGTTAGGATATAAGAGAAATGCACTAGTATTAATAAACTTTTTACATTTGACACATACTGTATTACAAAGAAAATATCCTTGTAAGACCATTAATTGCTGGGCCATAGGTGACTTCTGTCTAGTTTACTACAGTAGCTAATAAAACTTGTATAGAGCCTTTTTTAGATAATGCTTACATGTATGAAAATGTATGACACCCTTGTACTATGGCTTGCACTTTACTTGCATTAAACTGTGAAGTAGGCTGTAGTAATGTCTTTGTATATTCAGGGGTTGAAATACCAATGCACTAGAGTATCGTACTGCTGGTATTCAACCTGTACTGTTAATTATATCTGAACATGCCGACAATGTGTGTTTTGAAAACCCCACTCACTTAAAATCTTTAGCAAATAATGCTATGGGGTCTCCATGGTCTTTGTTTCTTTGTAAATATAGTTCTTACTGTTTCTGTAGCAATAGGAGATTATAAACCAAACTTTCACTAGGACTGTTTTCAATAACAAAAAAAATCTGTAGCGCCTTGTATAAAAATCATGGAGACTCCATGACCTGTGGGTATTTTTTGTTTACAAGCAGTATGTATATATGTATTAGAGGCAGAACTGTTATTTATCACAAAGTTATGTTGTGGATGATTCTTTCTAAAATAAATATACGTTTTCTGTCATTATGAAAAACCAGTATTTTAGAGCCATCTTGCAAAGGTTGAAGTGTCCAAGCTTCAAATACGTGTAATCTTTCCTGTTTCCACCTGGGTTTTGTAATCAGCTGTGAGCTGAGCTGAGAGGTGATGGTGAACCCCTGCCCGGCCAGGGAAGCGGGCTGAGTTACATCACAGCTTTTCTATAATCACCATCTTGCTGAAGTGTTTTTAGGAGCAGATGCTCTCCTGATACCGTAGTGAAGGCCTGCAGCTCGCTGATGCTACAGAGAGAGAAAATGAACTGCTCTAGACCAATACAGGTAAAACTAGGTTTCAACCCCTGGATAATACAGTATTTCTTCAGTTTCACAACAGTATTTTTAATTTTATACTTGTCTATGTTGAGAGATGATCCAATAGTTTATATAGGCAATGATCGCTAGGTTTCTTTTCTCCCCTCTTTTCAGATGAGTTCTGTGTGAATTACCGTAACCGGCTGCGTTTTTTCTATCACAGATTAACTTGTTAACTTTTTGTGCGTCTACAACGAAAATTTATGAATGGAAAACTTCACTGTGTGTTGCTCACTGGGCATATACCTCATGGTACATTGCACAGACGTGTAAGTTGTAAGTTGCACTGCAACATTAAAAAAGGAACATATTGCTCTTTTTTCAAAGATATTAACTTATTTAAGAGATATAGTCTGTACATTATTAAAAAGAACATTTATTCTTCCTAAATTGAAACAAAGCTTTTGGTTTGGGAGGGGGAGGGAAATAATGTTGTAAACTTCAGTTGTAAATTTGGACTTCAATAAACGAAATTATCTGCACTTACATTTTGTGCTCGTGTGCATGTGTGCGTTCTCCAGCACCTGTAAGCAGGAGGAGTCATTACAGCCAGGCATCACACCTGGATTTGAGCTGGGAGACACGGAGCTTAGGGCCGAGCCATTCAAAGGGCAGCTACAAAGAAGGCTGAGACTCCCTTTTTACAAGAGTCCCGTGGTAAAGAGGGGCAACGGGCACAACTAACTGCTGCGGGGATGCCAGCTGCACACAAGAGGTAACTCTTCCCCAATCAGAGCAGCCAGCCATTACAGCAACCTCCCTAGGGAAGCTGTGGACTCCCCAGCACTGCACACGTTAAGAGCTGCTGGACAGGGTGCTGCAACACCAGTCTAGGTCATGCTTGGCCTGGAAAGGTTGGACCAGATCGTCCTTGCGGTCCCTTCCAAGCTGGGATTCTGAGTTATGAGCTGTGCCTTGGGCAGACAGCACCTCCCGCAGCTCGAGCTGTGGCTGCTGCACCCGAGCAGCCCACAAAGAGCTTTTCTGGCCCTTCCCCTACACTTACATGGGGTTTTTCTTCTGTTTCGTGTTCTAAGCCGGGGACACTTGGGATTTGAGCTTTTCTGACCGGAACAGAATTAGTTACCTTGTACCCTGGAGCAGATGTTGAGGTCAGAACGTTACAAACCCCGAACACAACCAACCGAGCACCGGGGAGACGCCACATTAACACCAGCAACTTCCGTGCCGCTCACTGAGCGACGGCCCGTTCCGGTGCGGGAGCTGCAAGGCCGGCAGCGCCCGCACCTCCCTCCCCGCGCCGGCCCCGGCCGCTTCCCGGTCCCGTTACTACCGCGGCGGCCGGCCCGGCTGTGGCCTGAGCCCGCCCCGAGCGCTGCGGCTCCTCCCCGCGGGCGCCAGCCCCTCCGTGCCGGCTGCAGGCGCCGTCGCTAACATGGCGGCCAAGGTGAGTGCCGCCTGGCGCAGAGGAGCGCGGTCCGGCTGCCCTTCCCTCGGCCCGACTCCGGCTCTGAAGCACCCATGGCTCGGGGGCAGCCGGAGGACGCCCCGCGGAGACTTCCCCCGCCCGTTGTGAGCTCCACACGGGGAGCGGGCCGGGCCGGTTTGTGCGGCCGGGGCAGCGGGGTAGGCCCACGGCGTTGAGCAGTTCCATGGCGGGTCGCTCCCTCAGACCCTCGGCCGCCGTGCCCGGTGCTCCCCAGGGCCGGAGTCGTGCCGGCGGCACCCTGCGGTGCTCCAGCAGAAGGTCGTGGTTTGTCGGAGCAGGGACATCCCCGCAGGCTGTGAGCCAGGGCTCAGCGGGAGGAGGAGGGAAGGACGAGGTGTCGGGGTTGTGTTCTCCGTTGCAGGAGCAGAGGTAGAAAGAGGTTCAAGAGGGCAGTTCAGTGGTACAGCACGGAGAGAAAGAAGTGTTTCTCTTGTGGTAGTTCCCCACCTGCTTACAGCCTCTCGCTCCGTAAGAGATCGCATATGAACATAACTTATTTTCTGTTGGCATTGTAAAGTCGTGTTATGTATTCCTGAATATTAAAATCACGCTGTTACAAGCTAACAGTCACAAGTATCTTAAAAGGTTTTCCATTGTAGAGATAATGCAGTGTCTTTAAGCAGGGAGGGAACGCACCTGCAATGAAGGAGGCTGTCTCTGGAGTGGTTGGTTTTCCAGGTTTCACAGTGGATTTGATAAATAGGTTGCTCTCGCATGAATCTTTATATTTACTTTTGCAAAGTATTTAAAATGCCTGTGAAAAACGTGATGCAAAGAGGACAGAGGAGTGAAAATGAAGCATCTGACCTTAGTTTGTTACAAGTACCTGGAAAAAGAAACTTTGGCTTTGCTGTGTGGCTGGGTCACCTTGAAGCGGTGTAGTCTGAACGATTTGGTACCTCTAGTGAAGTGATGGACTTTTATGTGTGTTCTTTATTGTTTACTACGAAAAAGTAACAGTTTTATGTTTAAGGTTTTACTTTCCATTGGTTACCATCTGGCAAACGACGATTAAAAACGAACCCATGGAGTATCAGGAAGTCGAGTTTAAGCAGGAGGATGTTTCTGTTTTGAGGCTTCTTCCTACCTTTAGGGCAAGTTGCTTTACTTGTGCTTCCAGTTCTTGAAGCAGGTATACAGGGTTTGCAGTTTCAGTGGTACACAGTACTTATGGTCTTGGAGATGAGCATAAATTAAATATCTGGGTTTATTATGCTTTAGTTTGTGTTCTGTATCTTTTGAGTTGATCATGGTGAATTCTTTGTCGCAGTGTAGTGCTTTTAACTTTATTGAATCTTTTATCTTCGATAAGATTCTAACACTTTGAAATAAACTGGTTTTGAAATGCAAAGACTTGAAGCTAAAATCATCCAGGTACATTTGGCAGTTTTATTGTTACTTTTTGGTTACTTTTACTCTAGTTCTGCTATTAAAAGGCACAGCTGCAACAGTTTTCTGCTAGAGAGCGTGTGATAAGTTTCTTCAGCAAATAACTGCAGTCTCCTCATCAGAAATAAAGCTGTGCCTCATCAAAAATAAAACTCTGTCTGTTGGTAGTGCTTTGAAACCACCATTGTGCTTTTTATGCCACGCTCAGGTGGCACGTGTTGCAATGTGATGGCAGTGTTAGAGGTGCACAGGAATAACCCTTGCCACTGACCAGAGCATTAAGGCGAATGATTTCTAGTGTCTTGATTCCTGTGATGCTTACTTAGGTCAGTGTTCGTGTAGAACCTTTCTCCAGAAGATGCCATCTGGGCTCCTGGCTTTTGGAGCTGTGGATCTGTGGCCATTAAGGGCTGGGTGATTTACTTTTGTTAGCTTCATAGGGCTTAGGTTTGAATCAGTTACTGACTGACCTGGAGACATTGTGCTGGCTGACCATGCAATTCCAGGATTTTTACAGCGTGAGCTTGTTGCAGATGTTTTTCTTCATACTTCTTTCCTAGTCTTTGACATATATGCGTGATTCTTCCATTTCTTAATTCTCAGCGACTTCTTTAGACCATTTCATAGGTAAAATGACTTTCAGTTTCTTTAGCTAAACAATGTATGCTTTTCCTTGTTTAATTCGTAGTATCCTTTGACGTAATTTGTGTAAAGTAGATTTAATAATACTAGCTAATTGAGGTCTTTTTCATATACCTAGGCATTAGATAAAGAGGATAAGCAACTCAGTGCAGTGAAGCCTCTTTAGTGTAGTCAAGGTGACATTGCTTTTGGTTCACCTTGGTTCTTTGTGATTTCAATGGGAAAGAGTGAAACCTTGGAATAATTGTGCCAGCATAAATGTTAGTACAGATGTTCGCTTGGATTTTAAACATTTATGCATTTGTCTTCAGGCCTCCAAAAGCAAAGCAGTTACTGTCAGTCAGGAATTGAACAGCTTTCATCATTCCCAGGATAGCTTTCTCTTTTAGCGCAGTAAACTCTGTTGTGACTTTTTAAAACACATTAATCAGATTTGTTAAATGAACAGTATAACTTCCTCATGCTTTCTCACTTTTAAACTTGATTTTCCTTCTGGTATCTACTGAAAGTCAGTATGGTGTCTCAGTATCACCTTGTGCTGAAGTAAGTGATTATGATACATTAATGCTCAATGAAATACATTAAACCTTTTGTCAACATGTGACTGAATTTTTCCACAGTGCTGGTCAGCCTGCATGGTATCAGCATGGCTGTAGTTTCTTTTTGTATGTGTAGGACTTTCCTCTATGGATTTTCAGAGGTGGTATCGCCTCTGTCTTCCTTCAGGCTGTATTCACGATTCCCAGTATAGTTAGAGGTCAACGTGGGAAAACCAGAGTTCTTTGGTAACATGACTTTTGGGTTCTCCCCCTCTGCCCTGCTTCAGACACAGGTGTGCTGCTGGTTTAACTTGCAAAGTGTCTGCTCTGCACCTGGGAGCATTTTTCATCCTTGTTTTCACGTTTCTAGAGTTTCAAAAATCCTTCAGGTGGAAACCATCACACCAAAGTTGCTGGTGCTTCAACATGTGGCAAGTTTTTGAATGTATGCAATGCCAGTGTGCTTAATGCCAGCTCCCACGGGAACTGCGTGGCAGTCAGTTAAAAAATACTCGTGTGAAGCTGTATTTGAGTGTTACCTTTGTGAAACATACAATGTTTATTTCCAAATAGTGTTCTAAGTAGACATCAAAGTCTCATGACCAAAGCTGGATTTCTGTAATTGACATTGTAACATACTTGATTGTATGTTACAATGGTAATTCTTAGATTCAGTTGCTGCTGTGTATTTTCATTGACCGTCAGGGCGCAGTTATTCCAGGCAGACAGTAGTTGAGTCATTCTCTGCGTTGGAAAGCAGATAACATTTTTTTTGTGATGCCATGGAGAAGTCCTGTAAATAAAACCTAGGTTTTGCTGAAACAAGAGTCATTCGTTGCCTTGGAGCACCTGTGTGTTGTATAGATTAGAACTTAATTTACATTAAAGGGTGATGGAAGGATCAACATGGCTTTGAACATAAAATTCTTCCGGGTGTTTTAGACACCGCTGTTGCTGTCCATGATCTCTCAGCTTTTTCTTTACCATTGTGATTTGAGAAAATCTGTGTGTATGACAGAAGAGGTTCCTAAAGGGCATACTGGTGTAAAAAGGTTTTAAAACTCACTTGCTTAATCTCATATTTGATCAAGCACGACACGACAGTAAAATCCAGACTTTACTGGAGGGCAATTCTAATTTCTTCATTAAGACTCCCTTTTTTCACCTGTCTGTCCCAGGTGGCAAAGCTGGCAGCTCTTTCTTCGGGTCTGCCGTTTGCATGTTTTACTGTGTATGCAGCAACAGAGAAGGAATCAAAAAGCCAGCTGGTGAAACCAGATCAGGTAAGAATCTTACTGTGTGTCAGCCTTTTAAATAATACTAGGAGAACCTATGAAACACCATCTCTTTCCATTGAATTATATTACCTGGTATATAAAATGCATAGCTAAATAATGTGATAATAAAAGTTACCTCCTAAATAACTGACCAGTATAGAACAAATAAAATTGTTATACGTGAACTGTAGTAAAGTTTTATCTCATTTTCATTATTGTGTTATTTCCAGGCTGAAGCCAGCAAAGATAAAAGAGTGTAACACTGATCATGATAGTGGTTTTCTGTTGTACAGTTTCTAGTAATATGTGTGTGTCTTCCAACTATTCTTGGTCATGCTTTTTGCGAATAAAAGATTGCTTTTATCATAGTAATTCTATTACTCAGAAGCTATACAGTACTTTCAGTTTTCAGTTCTGTAACCTGTAGTCATACTTGTGTAAAAGTAAGTTTGTAAATACAAAAGAGTGCAATTCAATATAGAGCTTTTGGCTTGGGAACACTAAGGATTTGCGGTCCTGAAAAACACTAGTCAATGTAAATACGAAACTCTCCCTGTAGTACAGTTACACTTTTCTTTCCAGCTACCAGTTTACTGTCTACCACCTCTGAAATCGAAATACATTGAAGAACAGCCTGGTTACTTGCAGAAGCAATTCTCTTCAGTAAGACAGACAACTGGCCACTATATTGGATGGTGCAAGGTAAGAAATTCCTGCATCCAAAGTTTCCTACAATTCCAGACAGAACTAGAGTAAAACTTTGAAAAACCAGCATGCCTCATCCTGGAGTATTTTTTGCAGTTCCTTTTATTAACATACACCTATAATTTAAGACGCAGAAATGAAACTTTCTTTCATTTTTCTCTGCTGTGCTTGTAACAGGGAACATGCATGTTCTCTCTGTTTCCCACATCCAAAGACAGCAAGAAAAACAGGTTCCCTCCAGCCAGTGCTAAGCTGGATCTAGGTCAGCCCACGATGTCAGGTTCAGAATGTCTCTTGGTTAACTTCTACAGCAAGAGTTGTGCAGGTAAATTCTTGCTGGCAGAACTTGGTAGTGTTTCAGAGTCTGAAATTCCAGGTACAGACCACAAAAGAGCTGCTTCCAAAGCATGGGTTAAAAGACCTGATTCAGGTACTTCAGGAAAGACAGAGTGAGTGCATCCCATGTAACTGTTAAAGCAGGCTCTTAATAATTAGTCATCAAAAATGCCTGTTACTGAATAGTCTGGGCGCAGGAGAAGATGTGATGTGATACCTATCACCATTCTCTTAACGGCTGGTAAATGACAGCTTTACCCTGGCTGCTGTTACTATGCTTTTTTATGCATGTATTTTTCTCTTACAAACAAAGTAGACTTTATTATTTGAAAAGCCAAATAAATCAAAATGCCTTCCTGTATTTGCTGTAAATTCTTATTTTCTTGATCTGAACATTTTGTCAGTGACTGTGTAACTGAAACCATTTAGTTCCAAATCTGTATCAAACTTCTCCAGGCCCTTCATCATTGTTTCCGAGATTGACTAGCAGTGACCTCTGCTGGTACAAATTCTGCACTACTCCAAACAAATGATTTCGGTGAAATAACTCAAGATGCTGTTCTTTTCATTAAACTCCTTTACAGAGTTTTACTCAATTAAACTCCATTAAAGAGTTTGGCTCAATTTGTTTAGCAGTCTGAGGACAATGATACTAATAATATGGTAGGAGAAGGATTTTTTCCTTTATAAAGAAAAAACTTGTAATTAAATAAAACTCCTTTTAAATTGGTCAATTTAATTGCAAACTAGTTGAGCACATCTTTGTCCTAATCAGTATTGCTTATCTTTAGTGAAGGTGAGCGCCATTTTTACAAACTAAAAGACAAAGTCAGTTTTACTGGATAAGTCTCTAAGGAACAGGAGATTATATTTTATAGTTGAATTTAATTCTGTTATACAGCTGGTGTCCAAAAGTTTTGCTACCCTCCAGTTTTGTTCCTGAGATGTTAATTTTGAAAGTGATTTTGCTACATTAAAGAGATTTTTTTTTAATGAAATATGGATGAAAGTGTGTGTGTGTGTATATATATATATTAAAAATATAGATAGGGTAGTCAAAAAGGGGCTAGATATCCGCACACCTCTGTAAGAGTTCATAGATCTGGTTTGGGTTTTTTTAGAGTTACCTCCTATTTCTTTGTCTCATTATGCTAAGCCACATGTATCAACCAAGTAGTTTTTTACTGAAAGCATCTACTTTTGCAAAGATTTTACATTTGTTTCCTCTGGTTTTGTTTTGTTTTTTGTTTTTTTGGTAGGATGCTTTTCTCTTTGTTAAAAATGGAATCATGGATTCAGTTCAATTTGGGAAAGGTAGGCAAGTCTCATATTTCTGAATTAGGCATTTTCTGTTGTTTCTTCTTGTGGCTTAGATGGTTGAAACAGCAAATTCCAGTTACAGGAGGAGGAGAGGTGAAAGGGGAGTGCACGGAAATGCTTTCTGCAAGTGTGGAAGAAGCAGACCTGCACTACTCTTAATTTATGGTGGAGTTTCATTTCTGTTCTCAAATGAGAAAAATGACCAATGAAATAGTACTTCTCATTCCTTTGATTTTAGCATTGCTCTTAAAATCATAGTATCTAAGAACTGTTGAAGCTGGAATGTCTCTAGATCTGTAGGTCTCCCTGTAGAGGCACTTCTATAGATTATCTAGTCCAGTCACCTGCTTAGAGCAAGGCCAAAGCAAGTTGGTTGTCTCTGTCCAGTCAGGTCTTGAACATCTGTGAGGGTGGAAATTCCACAACCCATCTTAGTCATAAAAATGGCTTCTTAATTCTAGCACAAGTTACAAGCAGTATTTGCATTCAGGTTCAGTATCAGAAACTCTTATTTTCAGATAATTTATTTTCCCTAAAAACAGTATACTGGGAGATGCCAAAATATGTGTTGTCTCATTTAATGTATACTTACTCAGAGTGAAATGAAAGCTTAAATCGCTGCTTTCCCTATTAATGGCTTCTAAAACAAAAAAAGTCTCCAAGGAGAAAACTTTGTTGTTGTGTTTTGGGGACTGTGATTTTTAGTTCTGTCTAAAGGGCTGCAGAAGTGTGCATCTGCAAAATCAGACATCTTCAGTCATTATGGAAAAAAATCCAGCTTTAGACTGTTTTCAGTTTAAGATACTCAGCATTTTGCTTTTATTTTTATTTCTTAAGTGGGAAATAAAGGGTTAATACTGAAATGCTATACTTTTTTGTTGTTGTTTTTAATTCTAAGATGCTTACATTTACCTGAAGAATCCACCACCAGAATTTCTTCCCAATGTTGGTATCATTACAATGTCAGGCTTGGCAGGCCTAGCGCTGGCAAGGAAAGGTAGGGTTTTTTGCTTGTTTTCACTATTGGTGTGTTGAATATGTAGCATGTAATAATTTCAATGGTCAAAAGGCTTTTCTGAAACATAGGTAAAAAACTATCTAACTGATAAATTGAAGAGACATCATTAAATGCTGTTTTTAGAAGCTGCCTAAGACCTAATAGAACAGGATTATATAGACATTTTCAATGTGGTATCAACAGAAATTCTAAGTGGGACATTTGTTTTGAGTTTGCTTGTTATTGGTTTTGAGAAACTGTATGGTAGGAAATTGGAGACAAATTAACAACTAAGGTTACCGAATGCAGTGAAAACTAAGGGAGTTCAGAGGGAAGATGCTAAAGGGTGTTGGCATTTGGCTAACAAGTATAAGAGAATACATGTCAGAAGGCATGGTTTCAACAGTTTTGAAGCCAGAAGGGTAATTTTATAGACAGAGCTGAATGACACAGACCTTCTTATAGTTTTCACTATATTGGAAAATCTAGTTCGGGCTTTGTTCTCACTCAAGAAACCAATGTTCAGAGTATCAGTGTCTCCTACAAACATGACTGTACTAAACTATTATCACACCCTGTATGCTCTTCTCCAGCTGTTACACGGGTAAGTTTGATATAAACAATGGTTAGGGGTTAAACAACTGCACTTAGTTGATACAAGTACTTCACTTTACGTTTCTTTGGCATCTGATTATTTGAAATATTTGGCTTTATACAGGTTCTAGATGGAAGAAAATTGTTTATCCACTGGGACTTACTGCTTCAGGGATTTCTGTTTGTTACCCAGCTCAGTCAGTGGTATTTGCTAAGGTAAGTTTACATCTGTTTTAATACTGAATTAACAGTGAATTTGGTCTTAGTATTCCGATTTCTCTTGAATTGCAAGTGTCGTGGGACTAGGAGTCAGAATTAACATGCATCTTTGTTAAAACGTGTAATGCATCACAGGTGTTAATTGCATAATTATAAAAAAGTAATAAAATAACTGAATTTTAAAATGCATTGTCTCACTTTTTAATGGTCATTTCTCAAATAAATGAAGATGACTTTATCCTGTTGAAATGAAAATAAATAAAAAATAAAGCCTTGCCAAACTTGATAAACAGCAATTTGAGATACTATAGGATAACATCTGTAGAATTTCTTGTTTTCCAGTTGTTGTCATCTTGATGTTGTCTACTTGACATTGCCAAAAAACTGTTGGCTGATCAGATTTTGATTTAGAATCACAGAATCATAGAATAGTTAGGGTTGGAAAGGACCTCATTTTGAGTAGGTGGATGTAGCATGTGAGTGCTACCTGTGGATTTCTAGCGCCAATTTGAACATTATTTAGGATTTGCTTGACATAAGAGTAATATGCACTAGATCTTGCAAATAATATGAATTTAATTTAAATGGTCTGTGTATTTTTTTAAAAGCTGTTTTTAATTTACATTTTTTTAAATAGGTGGCAGGGAAAAAGTTGCTTTCTGCAAGCCATCAAACCTATGGGGCTTTGCAATCACTGTGGGCAGTAAATGAAGGTGTCACCAAGGTAGGCTTTCTCAGTAATTTCTGTAACTCATAAATGCAGAGGGTGAAAAAAGTACATTAGAAGGTCAGGTACTGGTTGCTCATACTGTTAAGGTCACTTAATTGTGTTAAGTGAGGCACCAGAACCCTTTTATAACTTCAGTGTTTTATCGATGCCGTAGCCATTACGGCTTTTGCACCAGTATATACCGAGATCTCTTTTGTAGTCCTACAAAACAGACAAGATGCACAAGAGAAAACCAAGTTTCTCTTACAGCTCTTTTTTGATCTTAACAAAAATAATCCATTTGTGATTCCAGCTTTGGTTCTAAGGAGACCACTGAATTTAGGATAGAGATACAAAGAATCACAGTAGGTATAACTGGCTTAATGCTTAAACATGTCAGTGTAAATTATATATGGAATTTGGGTTAGTACAATCTGGACTTAAACATGTTTTTTCTGCAACCTGAAAGGGCTTTTCTCCAGTGAAAATTTCAGCTTTGCACAGTGATTTGTTTCTTTTTCTCTTTTTAAAGAAGATGCAAGTTTCTCATTTATATTAGCATTTAGAAGTATTTTGCTTTAAATTTATGGTGTTCATTTGTATACAGCCCTCACCTTATATTTTGACTGAGGAGCACAAATGGAACAATGAGTTTTCAAAATGAGATTCAGATAAATGTCATTAAACTGAGAGTGAAACAAGAATTGATGTGATAAAGACAGTTTCTATCAATTTTTTTCCCCTCAGTGAAGCCTGTTCCCAAAACAATATATTATTTTTCATTACTAGGTTATTACCATGACTTATCTTTCTGTTTTCTGTTAAATAAGGGAGTAAGTGTTCTGAAAATAACTAAATGCTATTCCGGTCTTGTGCAAGGCTCTAGGTTCCTCATCTGTGAATGAACAGTGCCTTCCTAGTGAAGGACTTTGAGGGGGTCAGGTAAAAGCACAGTGTCAGACTGAAGTACGTACTGATGACAAAGTAAATTTCCTTACATGTGAATTTGAAGTTGTATGTGAACTGTGGGGTTCTTTCGTGCGTTTTAGTTTCTCCATCTGTGTCCCTTGCTTGCAGCTGACTTTAACATTACTAGTTGAGTATCATTGTATGATATTATATCTGAAAATAATGTCATAACAGATAAGCTTTCAGACTTGAAAGCTTTGTTTTGCCATGAAGTATTAAGCATATACCCTTGTGACTTTTTCTTAATTTTTGGTTCACAGATGCAGCAAGAGTCAATATCAGTTACTGGGGAAGATAAGAAAAAGAAAGAAATTTCTAGTACAAAACCTGAGTCTGCTATTGAGTCAAGATCATTTAACAGAACAGAATCTTCTCCAGTAGAGTCTTGGAGTAACGAAGATCCAGTGCCTTCATCAGGTGAATTAAACATTTCAAGTGTAATCTCAGGGCACCTTGCAAATCCAGTTACTTCATTTTGTAGTTACCCTTGCTTTAAAATAGAGCAGACTGTTATAGCATATTATTCTTGAAAATATATTGTAGACACTGTTATTTAGTACATACTTCAGAGCCTCAGGGGGATAATTTTCTCACTGTGGACCCTGTCACACTGTCAGAATACTTATATATTTGTTGTTCTCTCTCAATAATGTTTTGTTTCATTCCATATGGTGTGGACCATATCCCACATTGCTAGTTAATGAGATGATGTCAAGTACTTCCCTTAAATACCTACTTTAAAGTATCTTTCTGTTATCAGACTACCATAAGTATAACTTACAGGATTACTGCTGGACTTGTGTGAGAACATCTAATTTGAGTTACTGTTCACTTCTCCATATGGCTTCTGTATCTTCAGATACTGGTAGAAGAGGAATGTGTAATTGCCAAATGAGGCACTGGATTTTATTTGCTAGGTTTTTTGCAGTGGTGTTCTTTGTGCAGCTCAAGTGGTTGAGATAATTGCCTAGATCATGTAAAAGCATATTTAACATATGACTATTTTGATAGGCCAGTTGCTAAGAGAAATAGTGCAATTACCTATTAAAGGAGAACTAAATTAATTTTAAAATAGTTGCCTTTTGTAGGGGCAGTTTCTGACTCTGGTTGCTGAAACTTGCTTCCTTCTTTTTCCTGTGTTCTTTACCAGAGCATTCATTTTTTTTAAGCAGAAAATACTTGAATGGGGGTTTGATTCCCTTTATTTTCACTATAATATACATTCACATCTTTCTTTGCTTTGCATCCGTATTTTTCCTGATTTAGTTGTGGAATGCTTTGATCTGTTTTTACATTGGCTTCAGGCCGGACTGTCTTTGATGGTTTAACGTGTAGACATATCCTGTGTCTTTACTGTCGTGGCATTAGTTCTTGTCCCTAATACAGCCAAAAATGCCCATGTCCTAAATTAATTTGTGCTGTCAGAGATATTTATTTTCACTAGCCCAAACAGGGCAGAGCTTTCAGGAGAGCATGGCACCCTTGGCTAAACCAGCTGATGTAGCTGGAAGAGAAGCAGGCTAGTAGTAGGAGGTACAGTACTAGATACCCTGCCTTTATATTCTCTGAGACCTTCTGTATCACCAAGTATCACCAAGTATGTCATTCTTTGTGCATTGTCATTCAGGGTGAGTGTGAGGGTTCAATGCTTTAGTAAACAGTTCATTGGTTTTGGAAGTCATGAAGTGAAAATAGGTAAGAGTTTGTCATAATTTGGAATTCTTGCCATCTGGCAGCAGCTTCAGTGAAGATACTGATGTGGTTGGTTTTGGGAGACAGATCTGCTCCTGCAGTTAACAGGACAAGACTAGGGATTTTTTTCCATGTCCCAAACTTTCTCTTCTTTTTTAACGTGTAGGGCAAAGCCATCACTATTTATTCTCTCATTCTGCTGCATTCAAGAAGTAGTATTAAGGTATAGAGAGCAGAAGGAAGAGTGCTCCCCATCCACTGCTGTATGCTAATAATTAGAACATACCTTCATCATCCTGAATCACTTACACAGTTTTAACTAGAATGTACATATTTTGATCCTTTGTGTTTGCTAATACAGTAGTTCTCAAAATGTGCCAATATGTTGGGTTTTTTCTACAGCTCAAATACGTATTTTAATTAAATTTCTTTACTATCTCTAACAGGACCAGTGAAGACATCAAAATTTAAGCCTGATCCAAAACTTATGGACCATGGTCAATCCAGCCCAGAAGATGTGGATATGTACAGTACTAGAAGCTAAGAGAAATATGCTTACAAACCTTTGCAAAGTGTTACAGATAGGGGGAGGGAAAGAAGAGAAGGAATATTCCTTATGATACGTGCTCTGTGATGTATAATTTCATCAGGTATTTTCTTATATCCCAGTTTGTATTATTCACTTACATGGTTCTTAGTGGATGTTTTGTTTCTCACTACCTGTAAGTGGTGAGAGTTCACTCATTGTCAGTGTTGTTAGTGAGACACTGCGAAAGTGACCTTTGTCAGGGTCTTCTCACAGTGAGGTTTCTCTTTGCCAAGCTTGTTAATAAATGTCACTTCACAAAGGATACTTGAAAATGTAAACCTACGTCTGTAGTTCGGCTCAGATGTTCATAGATCTGAAAGAAGAATGTGATGGATGGGGTTTGCAGAAGCTTCGTTGTCTTTTTCTTCTTTCAGCTCTGGAATGAAGGGCAAGAGATTAGCACTAAAAAGTCACTTGTTAACATCATGCCAATAGCATTATCTTCAGTGCTTGCATAAACAAGCCACTTTGTTGTGTTGCTTTTTTTTTTTTTTTCATTTTGAAATCATTTCTTGTCTGCTCATGTTCATTTTCTCATCACCAACACCCCCAAGTCCTTCTCCGCAGGGCTGCTCTGAATCTCTTCTCTGCCCAACCTGTAGCTGTGCCCGGGATTGCTCCGACCCAGGTGTAGGACCTTGCACTTGGCATGGTTAAACTCCATGAGGTTGGCATCAGCCCACCCCACAAGTGTGTTGAGGTCCCTCTGGATGGCATTGCTTCCCTCCAGGGTATCAACCGAACCACACAGCTCGGTGTCATTGGCAAACTTGCTGAGGGCGCACTCAATCCCGCTGTCCATGGCAGCGATGAAGATGTTGAACAAGACCGGTCCCAACACCGATCCCTGAGGGACACCACTCATTACTGGTCTCCAGCTGGACATTGAGCCATTGACCACAACTCTTTGTGTGCGGCCATCCAGCCAGTTCTTTATCCACCGAGTGGTCCATCCATCAAATCGATGTCTCTCCAATTTAGAGACAAGGATGTCGTGTGGGACAGTGTCGAACGCTTTGCACAAGTCCAGGTAGATGCCATCAGCTGCTCTACCCCTGTCCATCAGTTCTGTAGCCCCATCATAGAAGGCCACCAGGATTTCCCCTTAGTGAAGCCATGCTGGCTGTCACCAAGCACCTTGTTGATTTTCATGTGCCTTAGCATGCCTTCCAGGAGAATCTGCTCCAAGATGTTGCCAGGCCCAGAGGTGAGACTGACTGCTCTGTAATTCCCCGGTCATCCATTTTCCCCTTCTTGACAATGGGGGTTATATTTCCCTTTTTCCAGTCATTGGGAACTTCACCTGACTGCCATGATTTCTCAGATATGATGGCCAGTGGCTCCACAACTTCATTCTCCAGCTCCTTCAGGACCCACGGATGGATCTCATCAGGACCCATGGACTTGTGCACGTTCAGATTTTTAAGATGGTCTTGGACCATATCCTCTCCTACAGTGGGCGCAAGGTCTTCATTCTCACAGTCCCTGCATCTGCCTTCCGAGACTTGGGTGGTTTGGTCAGAGCCTTTGCCAGTGAAGACCGAGGCAAAGAAGTCATTCGGAACCTCAGCCTTCTCCAAATCCTGCGTAGCCAGTTCTCCTGAGAGCTTCCTGAGGGGGCCTACATTCTTCCTCTCTGTTTTTTATTTGCTATGTACTTGTAGAATCCCTTCCTGTTATCGTTAATACCTCTACCTAAGTTTAATTCTAACTGGGCCTTAGCTTTCCTAACCTGGTCCCTAGCTTCTCGGACAACATCCCTGTACTCTTCCCATGCCACCTGTCCTTGCTTCCACTTATTATAAGCCTCTTTTTTCATTTGAATTTTCCTCAGGAGCTCTTTATCCTTCCGAAGCAGGTTCCAGAAGAAGCCAAAGTCTGCTCTTTCGAAGTCCAGGGCAGTGAGCTTGCTGCACGTTCTCCTCAGTGTCCTGAGGATCTCGAACTCGACCATCTCACAATCGCTGCATCCAAGGCTGCCCTGGAGAGTCACATTTCCAACGAGCCCTTCCCTGCTGGTGAGCAGGAGGTCAAGCATGGCACCTCTCCTTGTCACCTCCTCTATTACTTGCAGAAGGAAGTTGTCCTCTACACAATCGAGGAACCTCCTGGATTGCTTGTTCCGGGCCGTACCGTCCTTCCAACAGATGTCAGGGTGGTTGAAGTCACCCATGAGAACAAGGGCCTGTGAGCGTGAGGCTTTTCCTATCTGTCTATGGAGTGCTTCATCTGCAGGTTCTCCTTGATCAGGCGGTCTGTAACAGATCCCCACAGTAATGTCCCCCATAGCTATATTCCCTTTAAACCTGACCCACAAACTCTCTGTTAACTGCTCACCTGTCCCCAGTGACAGTTCCATACTCTCCAGCCTATCCCTAACATAAAGGGCAACTCCCCCTCCCCGCCTGCCAGGCCTGTCCTTCCTAAAGAGCCTGTAACCTTCCATTCCAACACTCCAGTCGTAGGAGCCATCCCACCATGTTTCTGTGATGCCTATTGTATCATACCCCCGTAGACATGCACACATCTCTAATTCCTCTAATGTATTCGTAGTGTTCAGGAAGTTGGAAACCATCTGCAGTTTTGAGGCTTAAAGTGCTCACAAATATTAAAAATGCAGAATTAATAGCCAGCCAGTTGTTTCCTCCCAGAAGTTTGTAGGCAGTGCCCATTGATCTTGGTAGGGTTTCCATAAAATTCTGTCATTTTCCATCGGAATGAAATTAGACACTAAATGTCCTAGGATTAAACTTTCCAGCACTGCTTTTATCATTGTGTATGGCACTCTACTGCTCTTCGATCTCCATTTCTCTTGGAAAGCACAAAACAACTCATATAAAGGTTGGAACAGATCTGCTGGCCTTCCTTGAACAAAGTGCAACTCACAGTGATGATCACCCTGCTGCATAATCTCACCTGTATCTACTATGGCACTTCCCTAACACTTAAACTGCAAAAGGACACTGTGCTTGTACTTTGTCCTTTGATCTGCTGAATTCTGTTACCTTTCATGAAAATACATGCTTTGTTGTAAAGTTGAGGGGGAAAGCAAAAGCAAACTTAGACAAACACTTAGTTTGGTTGGATGATGAATGGGATATGAAGGGATATTTGCTCATGTTCTCCATAAGAAGAAATTTTAGAACCTTATTCCTTCTTCTGAGGCTTGTAAAGGCAAATGACTAGTGAAATACAGGCAAGCAGTATTCCTAGTGTCATTGAGGGACTAGCAGAAGTTGTAAGGAGATGCACAGTGTGTTGTCTAGAAAGTACACGATGAATGAGCGAAAGAATGAATAAGGCTTTTGGGATGTGTCAGAAACAGAGAAGTATTGATATTTTGGAATCCAAATTTCAGGCAAAGTGTTGAACTTTGTTACAGAGTCCAAGTAAGGTGAAGTCAGTAAATGTGAGGTTTAAAGAAAAATTCTATTAGTGAAACTTGCTTAGGACAACTGACCTAGAATTTCATGTGTTTTGTTTCTTTAATCATCTCTTAAGGTCCAGAAAACTCAGAATTCAGGCAGCAATCAGAGGATATCAGTCTTCACAGAGCTCCTGAGCAAGACACATTTAGTGTTCCATCACAGAGAGAGGAGTAGAAAAATTAGTATGTGGGCTTCATATACCATTTCCAGGGAAACGGATGAAGATGTAAGGCAGGAAGTGAAAATGGGGAAGAAATTACTACTTACAAGTGCAAGACTGGATGGCAGAAATTGCATTATCTGTCTACCTTTTGGTCAGATTCTGGATTAGAAAACATGATTCAAAAACCATCTGCTCTACTCCTAGATTCTGTTTAAGTTCTAACTTACGTCCTTTGAGTCAACAAGAAAGGTAAGATGATGCAGGTTTGAATGGGTTTAGTAGGGCTTTACTGTGGTGATGTTTTTCAGTGGGGAACTGCACACAAGAATTAGTCTCCTGGGAGCAGGGAGAGAAGGTTCCTTGGGTAGCTGTTAAGGAACACGCATGTCTGCCCTTTCCAGGCAAGAGTAGGCCTTAAAGGAATCTCTGCCTGCAAAAGCTAGTCTTGTCCTTTCCGTACTTGTAAGGTTGTTATTACTAAGGTCTCATAATACACATGAAAGGGTCTGGTCTGCAAAATGTATGTTGGACTCTGTGCTGGTTAGGCAGTCAGGAATTAGATGTTCCGTGCAAGCAGTTTGTATTGCAGCCCTTGGTCTTAGAAGAAGGTTGTGCTATAAATGGACATGATGCACAAAGCTATCCTTAGGCTGTATTTTGGTCTGAAATGACTCCTTAGGGTAAAACTCTAATAGAACTATACCTTAGAGTTGTCATTCAGAAGTCTTAAATGCATTTTCTGGGGCATAACTTAAAATTAGTGCTCCTACCCACTTCGATGGGTGAACAGTATGAGTGAAGTGAACTCTTCTGATAAAATGGTATCCCTGTGCTGTGTCATATCTTCTTGGATGAGTGAGCGGGCACAGGTTTATTCCAGTACAGGGTTTGCCTGCTGCTATCACTTCTTGGTTAATTTTTTCCATCAGGTGACATTTCTCTTTTTCAGGTCTTTTCCTACAAGACAGGGTATGGTTTTGTTTGTTTTCTATCAAGTTTTTGTTAAATATCCCCACACAGTTGAAAAGCTGGGAATAAAATTAGTGCCTTAGGTGCTGGCACTGGAACAGCTACAGCCAGAGATGACTTTTTCCTATCTGCAGCCAAAGGAAGTGGGACAAAGTATTGAGAGGTTTTGTATCCTGACCAGGTGTGTTCTCTGCTTTTCAGAAATGCCATAATCGAGCTCTCAGCTGGTGTTTCTGTCCTGGAGCATAGGTTTAACAGTAGTGGGAAGGGATTTTTGGTAAAGCCTGGAATACGGTATATTGCAGTGGTTCCTTGCTAACATGACTTCTGTTGGAGTCAGCATTGTCTTGTCCACCCATGTGAGATACTTGATGAGAGAAATTTCTAGAGGTACCAAAAAAGATGTGGGTTATTATAGAGAGGCTTGGAATGTATTTGCTGAAATGAAGGCAGCCCAGATCAGGTTACTGATCTGCTCTTGTGTGAGTATTGGAATGGTGACTGTGAATCTTTATTCCTTGGCTGCCATTTCCTAAAGCGTTTCTGTGCAAAAAGGTGCCTGCTCTCTTCAGACACCTGAACCTCTGCTCTGCAAATGGCTTGTTCCCGATAACTACAAGGAGCTGTAGCCACATCTCCCTATCAATAATTTATAGTAAAGGTGCTATGCAGTGGCTTTAAAAAAGCAAATTCAAGTCTCCGTCGTGCCATGCTTGTG